GGGGGGGGGGGGGGGTGGCACTGATGAAGGCAGTGCACCTGTGGATGCTGTTACACACTGCCCTAGTCTTCCCCCCATCCTTAGAACAAGTTGTTTGCAGAATTCAAAGAGCCATGTGTGTTTTCTTTTGGAGCTCCACATGGGAGAAAGTAGTGAGGACAAAACTGTACAGAGCGAAACGGTCCAGAGGCAGAGGAATCCCAGATGTCCTTCTGTTCCTCTGGGCCAAATACATGAGCCAAGGTTTGCAAACTGGCAACAGGGGTGGAATCTAAAACAGCCCGCTTTGTTAAGTATTTTGCAGGGCAGCTGCTGCAACAGTGGCAATTGCACACAACCACCAATGGGAGCCCATGGACCATGGTTTCCCCATGGTTTTACAAAATCCTGAAGCGGTTTTGAGAGAAATACAAGCTGGACAATGCTACCCTAGCGACGCTGGTGAACCACCACAAGATATGGGAGGTGGTAAAGGCAAGCAACACCATATCACCCGTAGACTTACTACCTGGTGACAGCTGCCAGGCTGTGTAGGAGCAAATTTTCCTCAAGGACATGCAGAAGGAGCATAGAGACCTGAACTGGCAGGCAGCCCACCTTGGCACTTCCCATGCGGGCATGGAGAAACAGTGCAGGGCAGAGAGGTCCATTGAATTGCCCGAGGCAGACCTGCCACTGGCAGGCAGAAATCTTCCACCACCTCTTCTGGGGCTGCCCATACACTAGAGAGGTGTGGAAGAAAATCTGTGCACTCCCTCTCGTGGTGACAGGTTTCAGAGACCTGACCAAGGAAGCGGTTCTCTACGGGCACCTGGCCAGACAGCACGGGACCCCAACAGCTTGCTTTGACCACTTCATCTCCTGCTTCAGGTATGCCCTGTGGAAAGCCAGGAACCTGCTCATCAAACAGACACTTGGACCCCACAGTCAAGGACTGTATTAAAATGGGATTAAGTGAAATCCCATTTCTGTCCTGGTACTGCAGGAAGACAGAAGAGGACCACAGGAAAGAAATGACAGACCTCATCTGGTGGAGAGGAGACTGACATTAACTTCTTCAGGGGCAAGCCCTCTAGGGAGGGCAGTGGTTGGGGGCACGGGTAGCTCCGGAGATGGGTGTGTGGGTGTGCGGATACGCCGTGCGAACTGTGGAACGGGTTTCTAGTGTGCTTTGATCTGCCAAGTGAACCACAAAGACCACACACACATACATACCTATATATATACACACATGCATATGCATACCTATATATACATGTATATACACACACGTACGCGTATACACATATGTATATACGCACATGCATACACACACACGTACATATATGTATATACATGTGCACACACACATCTATTTTCCCCGCGTCGTCTCGTACTTGTCCCAGGCACGGACGCCCCGTCCCGGGGCCCGAGGCCCGTGCCCCCAGGGCGGGCGGGGGTCTCGCAGCCCGCAGCGCCCCGGCCCTGGGCAGCCGCAGCCGGAGCCGGGCTCG